GCGAAGTGTCAAAATTACTTTTATTTTTTCTATATTTTTATTCCATATTTAGTCTCCTACATTATTATACCAACAAGTGCCTGACAAGTTATAGTTGCAATATTGCTATTAATAAATTCTGCTAATAGGTATACCACGTACGTATACGTACATAGTAAGTTCTAATTTCTAATTACAGCATAAATATTATAAATATTATGCATAGCAGATTCGCATCATAATTGGACCTTTCATTTTTTTCCATTTACAAATACCATTAAAAACTTTAAAAAAATATTTTTCCTACAACACTGATTTGCTAATTCTTCATGAATTTTATGACTTATATCTACGTCATGTCTACGTTTCAAGCTACGAGTATGTTCCTTGTAGAAACAAATATTTGTACAGCTGATATAAATATTAACCACTTAAGAGAATCATTCTGTGATTTTTGTGACACTATAATAATGCTCCCTTAATAGACCAGTGGTAGCCAAGTGATAACGCGCTCGCTTGGCAAACTAAGTGAAACTGGTTCGAATCTTGGGTCTCGCATCTCTGATATTCACATATGCGAACCATTTTTCCACTTGTCTTACGTTGAAGGAAAACATCTTAATGTGTGAGAAAACTTAACATATTTTCGAAAGACATGTGAAATTCGCCAAACTGTATTTGGCCAACGTGGTGGACTATGGCCTGATGCCCTTTACGGGATGTTAAAAAGGGCTGTAAAAATACATACACTAAATAGAACTTTGATTGATTGACTTAAATACTAGAAATAAAGATAAATATTCGCATTCGCATCCGCATTCGCAAATATTCGCAGATGTTTCTTGACATTCGCATTCGCAAAATTCTTGCGAATATGAATATCAGAAAAAAAATTGAAAATGATATTAGGCAAATAAAACAAAAAATATAAAATTATTATAATTTTAATTAGAAAACCAACTTAGCCTAACATCACAATTCTATCTTCTATCTTTAATCAGTCTTTAAGGTTTAAGTAATAAGCTTTAGACTCACAATCAGTTTTATAACAAATAGTTAAATTTCTCATTAGAAATATAAAAGAAACAATATAAAATAAATAAAAACATATTGTTCTCTTTATGTTTTTATCAGTCTTTAGATTAATAATATTAATCAACATTTTTTATGAAACAAAATTTTGTAATAAGACTGTCTCCAAGTGAATCCAAAATATGCTGTATGACACGATCTTTAGTCGATATGCTTACAAACTTTACTTTATATCTTGGGTCAATGAAAGTCGTGTAAATATTTCATTTTCTTAAATTGAAAATTCGCGACTGAGCTTCTGTTTAAACGCAACTGTCGTTTTGCCAATGTGTTTATTGGATGAATGAAGATCATTAAGATTTTTGTCCAAAGTGGCAATTAAATGAATCACTGATGATACAGAAACATTGGCTGCACTTAATTCTTTAGTTACTTTCTCGAAAGGTCTAAGTAAAATGATAAGTTTTTCTATTATCATCCACTCTTCGGAAGTCAGTGGTAAATTTTATTATTTGTGGATGCATAGAGACACAAAGATTCTTTGACTTTCAAAATACGCTCCAACATATAAAAGGTGCTATTTCATGTATTAGTACATTCTATTATAATTTTGAGGGGTGCTTGATTAAGTATTTTCCATAAAGTCTCAAGCTCTTCTTGACCTGTATTCGAACGATGAAAATATGTTGCCATATTTTTGCATTTTTTTACAGTATCAAAGACAGATTTTTGACCTTTCAGCCCTTCTTTTAAAATATTTTTGAATCTTATGTTAAGCACAGTCAATGTGTAAAGCATTCAATATGGAAAGACCTTTTTTTATATCTGCGATTGCATCACGAACTACACATTTCACTTTATCTTTAGGTGTTTCCCATAATGACAATATGCCTTTATGTTTATCAATAATAATTTTTCCTTCGTGGTGGCTCTCACTGAACACCTCTGTAACACTATCAATTTCTAATTGTTCTGTAATTCCACGAAAATTTAAACCAAGTAGTCTCGCTCCAGAACAATTCAGATCACAGATCACATATTATCAAGCGCCAAAGACCTCGCCGATTTATTTTCCCACTGTTTCGTTTTTGTGATCTTGAAGCGACATCTGTTTAATTTTAGATTTAATACATTGATGGGAAGACGATGTCAATGCAAGAGCTGCATCCGGTTTTCCTTTTCGCACTTTTCCAATTTCAGAAAACTCCGTTTTGTGCATTGACTTTATATGATTTCTCATATAGACGTTGTAGTTCTTCCTTTTGTCGAATATTCCTTGTCCATAAGTGCATATTTTACAAGAATCTAATTTGTTTATTTTTACAAAATGATCAAATTAATCACACGATACACTGTAAAAACTGCAGTACAAGTCTCTAACTAATCCAATCGGAATGTAGTTTGGGAACAAAATATTGAAAACCTGAAATTTTATGATTTTAAAATGTTAGCAAGTATATAAGAAATAGAAATTCGTAAAATGACCCACATGCCCAGCTACCCCCTAACTCTCCAAGACAATATTTACGTCAGTCATCTATGGGAGGTGCGTTTAGGAATCGACATACTCTTAAACGAATAAGAATATCTTTGTCGGGTCAAGACGCCATACTTTACCATAAACTAGAAGCTATATTTAGCCATAAAACTATCTGGAGAGATTAGATAAAATAGTTTTTCGTACAATAGTAATAACAACTTTAGGTTATATACGTAATAGAACGTGAAAGTATGTCCACAAGACACTTATGGCTGATTAAGGGTTAAATAAAGATAATGTAAAACTAAAAATAAAATGTTAATAATTTAATTTCGCATTTTATTTTTCACAATAATCGGCAAGCGGAAGCGAACCGTTTTTTACCTATTTACGAAAATAATATAAAACTAGAGAACACATTTCCGTCAAAATTACATAGTACATAGGCGCTACCGAGGGTCGGCGCGGCCCTGGCTACGGTGTGCTTGTGACTCGCGCGGTCAGTTCACTGTCAAAGTTTGGCCATAAAAAAATGTTGTCAGTCTTACGCCTCAAAAAACATATATTCAGATAAAAATATTCGCATTCGCATTCACGAATATCGGTGGCAGATATTCGCATTCGCATCCGCATTCGCATGCCCAAAATTGACATTCGTTACACTAGTGTGTATAATAAAATTCCACGGTTGATATTGAGCTTGCCATTTAAATAAAAACTAAAAATATATTAAGGGAAGCTTATATATTATATATATACGGAATTAAGCTGTTAATGTGTGGGACTGATTTCTAGTTGGACCTCACGTAGGATAAGCAGATAATTTTTGTATTGCAATATTGTAAACAAATATTAAAAAACGCCGACTCTTCTCAGCAGAACTGCCGTCCGAGCCAATGGTAGCTTCCTCATGGACTTACATACTGACATTTTTTTTTAAGTTATGTCTTGTCTATTTGATTAAAGTATATTTTGATTCGATATGACTGTCTAACAACGCACAACATAAGCTCAGAGCTCAGCTCTTCTAGAAGCCAAACTTTGGCACAATAATTCCTTATGTAAAGAAGGTTCTTGTCAAACGATTATAAAAATATTCCTCAAAAAGTTGATTGAGAGATAATTTTTATATGGGAGTCATTTTTAAAGCTAAAAATATAGAAATTGAGGTGTTTTCTTTTTGTTACAGCCAATTGGAAATCCCATCATTATTTGTAATGCATATTTGAAATATTTTAGTTATACTCGTAGAATTTTCAACTTAACAGTCACAATTTCATGGGTTTTCATTTTTTTGCACAGAACCGTGATACTTTTTCCAAAATAAAAGTAGGCTAAATTACTCTTTATAATATCAGCTATCTGCCAGTAAAGGTCTCGTCAAAATCCCAGCGGTTTCAGAGATTAGCCAGAACAAAGAGACAGACAGCCAAAAAACTTAAAAAATATTATTATTTCCTTATAAGTACTATATAATATAATTTCATATGCATTTAGTAAAAAGTTATTATTTTGACATTACAAACAGACACTTCAATTTTATTTATCTGTATAGATAAAATTAAATTAAACTTCTTATCCCAAACGATAACACCAAGTAAGTTCTAATAATCTCAAAGCCTACAAGTAATGTACAATGACAAATCAATATAGAACGAGATTAGCAATCTATGATTAAAATAATAACACTTGTATTGAACATTGTATAATTTTTGCATACGTTTACAGCATACTAATGAATTTGGTTACTGGTTCAAGGTAAAACTTGGTAATTAGAAAAATATTAAGTTAGCAACAAGGTTTAAAATAGGTCACCTACCAGGTTTATTCTAGGTATATATGTATATCTATCTTCTTTATTCTATAGGTACATAGAATAAAATTCTCACTGATGCGAGTCGAATCTGTACATTAAATATTTTTTGGAAAATCTTTTTGAAATTTTCATTACTATCGATACAAAGGTCGAATCTTTAGTTTTTAGAATTTTTGCCTTTCTGTCTGTCTGATAACGCATCACGAGATAACTACTGGACAGATTTTGATCGGTATGATGATAGCTGGGTCAATTAATATAGGATACTTTTTACTGCGGGAAAATATCTCATCTCTTAGAAATCTATACTAAACGTTAAAACGCACGTAGGAACGAACCCGATCGGAACGAGGGTGAATGGCTAGTTATATATAAATAGGCAAAGAAAAAAACAGTTGTGTATCTTTTTCTCCTCTGTCTGTTAGCTGTTTTTCTTTTTTTTTTTTGGTTAGTAAGTATTGACGAGTTTTAGTGTTACAAATAAAAAAAATTATAACCCATTTCCCAAGCAAACGCTTAAATTCTGGGTTACCACTGTGTTTCGAATTGAATCTTTTCCTTTGTAAAGTCGAGCAAAAAGAATAATATGAATTAAAAATAATATAATAACCATCATTGATTTGAACGAAATAGTTTAGAATTTAGAGTACTTGTGAAGTTAAAACTAAAATACATAAATACATAGGTACATACCTTTTACACGAAATTCGGTGTGATCCATTCTATTTTGTTACCTGTAAAGAAAAATATATTTGTTAATTGTTATACTCGATAATCATTTTTATTAAATTTTGTCTTTATTCTAAAATTTGTACAAACAAGATTTATTAATAGAACCTACCTATATTTTTGGAACCTATAGCATAAATGTATTTATTTTTAAAGTTCAAGGGCTAGACATAAGAATTTGATGTTAATTTCAAATCAGGGTTTCTGAGAAAAAGGTCAAAATTATAGATCGATTGATGCAGGATCATGAGCATGAGATATGAGCTCATTTTATTTTTTAACCCCCGACGCAAAAGGAGGGGTGTTAGTTTGACGTCGATGTCTGTCCGTCTGTCTGTATGTGTGTCTGGCTCTTAAACGGGTGGACCGATTTCAATGCGGTTTGTTTTCATTTGAAAGCCAGTTTCCTTGCGGTGATTCTTAGCTATGTTTGGTTAATATCGGTCCAGCAGTGTAAGAGTATCAGCTCTTTTCGAAAATGATGTACGGCATTTTGGAGTATGATTACTTGATTAAATGCTTCACGCGTGCCAGTGTAAACTTTAAACGACAATTAATTTGCGTAGGGGTATTAAAACCCCAGTAATAATTTACAAAACCTTAAAACTGCGATATATTTTGCTTCTCACAAGATTCGAGTACAATCTACATTGCTATGCTATCCCATATAAATATCATAAATGCGAAAGTTTGGATGGATGTTTGTTACTCAATTACGCCAGAACGGCTGAACGGATCTGGATGAAATTTGGCACAAAGATAGATTATAGTCTGGAATAGATTACTTTTTATTCTGTAAAAATTTACGGTTCCCGTGGGATACGTATACGTGGGATATCCATACTAAACGTATCTCGGGATGAACCCGAGCGAAACGAGGGTGTGTAAGCTAGTAAATAATATAGTATATAATCAAATGAAGTGGGCCTTTAAACGTGAGCCCTGTATAAGTATTTTTATTTTATTTTTTATTTATTATAATAAGGTTTGCTAGTGGTTACTACATATTTTACAAGAAATGATTTAAATTAAATAATTAAAATACACCACATATTATGCACAACCGTTTAAAAGTAATACACAACTTGCATATCCTTGTGTTAGTTTTCACAATTATGAAGATTTTAAAAACATAGTAATTAATATTCATAAGCTTAAAATAAATTAAATAAAAATATAGCAACAATACAATTTATAAATGATAATTAATTATATAAATATATATATAATTTACAATGTATATAATTATTATAATCATAGTAATGGCGATTAAAAAATAACTATTTAAATATCGGACAGAACAAAGTTTGATCATTATATTATTGTTGATTGATTGATTATTTGATTACTTGTTTCATTATTGAGCAAATCAACATGTCTTTAAAGGCTTCCTGAGATGAAGGTTGTTATTAATGATGTATTTATTATTTACTTAATTTTATTCAATTCAGTTCGCATAGAAAATAATCTAAAGTATTTATAAGTTGATTAAAACAAATATGCAAAGTATCTCTTAACATAGGCTTGTTTTATTCCATGTTAACGGCTTACCCTCGTTGCGCTTGGGTGCGTCCCTAGTTATTTTGTAAATTTTTTTAGCAGAACTCTTTTTTTTTAAATAAAAGTAGCCTAAGTTACTCCTTATAACATCAGCTATCTGCCAGTGAAAGTTCCACCAAAATCAGTCCAGCCGTTTCGGAAATTAGCCGGAACAAACAGATAGACAAAAATGTTAAAAAATATGTTTCTTCTTATGAGTACCGTATATAGTTTCGTGTGCATTTAGTAAAAAGCTGTTATTTTGACATTACAAACAGACACTTAATTTTTATTTATCTGTATATAGACTGGCTTCTTAACCTTACTACAATCTGGTACGTTCCTATAGATGGTGGTGGTAGATGGTTTAGGAACGTATAAAAGACAAACATACAATAATTCTATTTTTAGGTCAGAAACCTTCCCGGACGTACAATAAAACAATCATTTTATTAACATAGACAGTATTTGCCTAGTGTTCGAAATTCAATCATAATCATCATTGAATTTTCTGTTTTCTCATCAATAGCTATACAAAAAAAATATACTAAACAAAAACCAAAATATTGAAAAACTGACGAGAAAATTTTTGCCTTGGTCTACCTTTTATATTTATAAAAATTGAAGTATGTATGTATGTTCCCTATGGACTCCTAAACGGCTGGAGCGATTTCGGTGAAATTTTCAAGCAATTGTCAGATTGGCCCCTTAGATGATTATGTAAAGTTTAGAAGCGATCGGAAGTTTGAACTCGGGCGAAGCCGCCGTTACTGCTAGTTTATATATAGATATAATCTATATATATATAATAAAATTCTAACCAAGCCTAATCTGTACATTCAATATTTTTTGGAAAATCTTATAGAAATAGTCATTATTATCGATACAGAAGCTAAATCTATAGGCATTAGAATTTTTGTCTGTCTATTACCGCATGATGGAAAAACCACTGGAGGGATTTTGATAAAATTTGGTATGATAATAGTTGGTTATTCGAGTCAACATATAGGATACTTTTTACTGCGGGAAAATATCTCATCTCTGAGAAATCTATACTAAACGATAAAACGTAAGTAGATACGAACCCGAGTGGAACGAAGGTGAGTCGCTAGTATGTAATAATATAATATGTAGGGACATTAACACACAGCACCATCTAGTTCCATGGTAAGCTACCAGGCTTGTGTTACCAGATGGATATCAGATAGTTGATACACCAATGACTGGAGTAAAAACATTCGTGCTCATCACACAAATAAATATGCCCAGCGGGATTCGAACCCGCGACCGCGTGCACAGCAAGTAGGATCACTACAAACTGAGCACGTGTCGTCACATATAGATACCATACGAGTGAACTCACGGGCGGCTAACTAGGTAATGTAAACGTTTGTCGATCTGCTAAAGACTGTAGCATTTTTCGGTTGCAGTACACTATTCACATAAGAATAATCCGTAGGCTATGAAGCCTTAGAACTGCTGGTACAATATGTCTGAACTAAATAGGTATTGATTGAAAACGATGCGTTAAAATCGAATTACTTCATTTGACTTCTATCGCATCTGCTGCTATTTTTTTTATTCTTCACAGATTCTTCAAAAACACTTTAAAGTAAATATATATGTCATCTTTAATTAAAGAAATACGTTGAAATTACATAACACCTAATTATATATACAAAACAAATATACAGTTAATTATTACGGTACGAGTCATGTCCGCGAGGAATAGTGGCAAGAAATGGCGAATATATAATTAATAATAAATCGAAAATTTAAAAAAACCCCTACACAAATTATTTGTCATTTAACGATTACACTGGCACGCGTGAATCACTTAATCGATTAATCATACGCCAAAATGTCTTACATCATTTTGGAAAAGAGCTGATACTCTTGCACTGCTGGACCGATTTTAACCAAACATAGCTAAAACCCACCGCAAGGAAACTGGCTTTCAAATGAAAAAAACCGCATCGAAATCGGTCCATCCGTTTGAGAGCTACGATGCCACACATAGACAGACAGACATTGACGTCAAACTTATAACACCCCCCTTTTTACGTCGGGAGTTAAAAACGAGCCAGCTATCTTGTCACCAGTTGAGTCGATAAGACAAGGTATTATGTTTTTTTATAAAGTGTTTATTTCTCCAACTCCATGAGCCGAAAGTTTCAACAGATTGAAGTAATATAAATACTCGTAGCAGAGGCATATTTTTTTGCTAAGGTGTCAATTTCAATAAATTAATTTGTTGTTTGACTTCATTCAAAACTAAAAAATAATTTATAATATTTTATTTATTATATTTTATAATATTAAAAACTGGCATTAAAAACCGATTTTCAAAAAAAAATACATAGCGCATTTTGCAGGCGCAGCGACGATTTGTTTATTAATCACTAAAAACCTTATTCGGAGTATTGTATGAGAACCGCTCTCAAGTGTGCACTTACTAAGGAACATCATCTTTATTATATTGTTTAATGTAAGTAAAAATTTGGTATACAAAAGGGATGGGAATATCGATTTTTTAATATTAATTAAAAAAATATGAAAATCGATTCACATAGACACAAAAACAATACAGCCGATATGAATACCTCTTCCCCTTTCAAGTCGGTAAAAGTAATACTAAGAAAATAATGGGATAGGAAAGATAATATGAAAAAATAGAAATATGTATTGTATCAACACAATAACTGGTGTGACAGATAGTGATATATCGGTGTGGTCTTTTAAAACATTTACTTATATTATTTTTACTTACTTTAGATATTTGAATTGATTTAAAAATAACCTCTTTTAGTTAAGAATCTTAAAATATATGGAATTATGTCTTAATCGAAATAGTTATGTAGAGTATATTTTTGTAACCTGATTTTTTACTACAAATAAAGAATAATAAAGAATATAGACAGAGCGTGATAAAACTAAACGTGAAGCCAAATAATAACGTTTTAAAACATAATATATACATATATAATAAAATTGTAACTAAGCCGAATCTGTGCATTACATATTTTTTGGAAAATCTTATTGAAATAAACATTATTATCGATACAGAGGCCGAATCTATGGTTTTTAGAATTTTTATCTGTCTGTCTGTCTGTTACCGCATCACAGAAAAACTACTGAAGGGATTTTGATAAAATTCAGTATAGTGATAGCTGGTTATCCCAGTCAACATATAGGATACTTTTTACTGCGAAAAAATATGTCATTTCTGAGAAAAAATACAAAAACTGCAATGTAAGAGTATACTAATATGTAAAACCTAAGAATTTGGTTTTTGGTCATCTGAACGCGGGCGGAGCGGCGGGCAGTGTTAGTATATAAATAAATGTATTATACATAAATCTATACGGGTAAATAAAATTGAAGTGTCTGTTCGTAATGTCAAAATAACTGCTTTTTACTAAATGCATATATGAAATTATATACGGTACTTAT